TGGGGAGCTCTTCCTAAATCAGGACTCGACTGCAGTGTCACTTTCTCTGTGACGCTCTCATTAGGCAAAAATGCTCCCTCCTCTTGCCCCATGCTGTTTTGCACGCACCTCCCCTCGCCTTCAGCCCTAATGCCCGAGGTGTCCACGGCAGGAAACTGCCCTGCGGAAAGGAACGAGCGGCTGGACTGCTGAGCCGGAGCTGGGGCACCGCCTGCACGCCCTGTCCCCGCCTGCACGCCCTGTCCCCGCCTGCACGCCCTGTCCCCGCCCAAGCCCCCGAGGTCTGCGGGTCGTGGCCGGCACCAGGAGGCGGGAGGAACCCCGGAGAGACCGTCCCCGTCGCTTTCCAACTTCCCTCGCCACCCTGTCTGGACACAGGCTTTCGTCACGCGGCACCCGGACCCGGGTTGCGAGGAATTCGGGCGGGGCGGGCCCTGCTGCCTCCCCGGCCACGCGACGCACAAAGGGCCGCTCTCCTCCGGCGGCTCCGGACTCGCGGCCGGTGCTGTCACTCCCGAGGCAACGCGATTACCGGAGGGATGACGTCAGCATTTCCCCGCGGGCTCCTGTGCCCCGCCCAGGCCGGTCCCGCCCAGACCGGGCTTTCGGCGGGAGCAACGACCGCCCGCCGCGGAGCTCAGAACTGCTGGGGGCAGCGCTGGAACCAGGAAACGCCCCTTTTTTTAAGCTGTAGAACAACATTGAGGTGCTTCCTGGGCCTGGAGCATTTAAGTTATGGGAAAATCCAGGCTCCTGGGGGCCTCCTCGGTCGTGCGGCCCCGGGAGCTTCAGAGAAACCTCCAGAGAAACCTCGACGGTTCGGTTCTGTGGTTGCCTCCTTTGTTTTCCAGCTAAATCCTGGAAATATTTGATTTGACTGTGTAGAAGTGCTGCTGCTTGTTTATAATCAGAGATTATTTATGCCTAATTGGCATGTAGTGCACAAATAGTAATAGGCATCATTTGAACTCATTTTGTTAAATTTATCATTTGATGCCACCACATTTTGTTGCTGCTAACGTAACACCACTGAGAGTTTGCTGCCAATGTAACATCCTGCCTGTATATACTATATTTTTTCTTAATTGGGAGGAACATTTGTGACGTAAGAAGATATTTGAGATGGGGTGGGGGGAGTAAAGACTTCAAAATATGAAAAGAAAGCTGCAACAGTAAAACGAATAAATGTTTAGTTAAATAACTGCAGAACACATGCCAATTAGTCAAATGCAACTCAACTTTTATATCATAACATAAATTATAATTAATGTAAAAAGTTAACCAATAGAAATTTAAAGATATCTGATAGGATGGGGGGGGATGGTTTCTCCAAAAGTAACAGTACCAAGGACCTACAGAGCTCTCGAACTAGCTCTATCCATCACTCACCGTTAGTATCGTTTTCTGGTTACAAAGAAATGAGTAGAATTTTTTTTTAATAACTGGAAGAAAGAAGGAGATTAAAGAAGATGGAGACAGATCTGTGGGAGAGACATCCTCTGAGAGTGATTTAACAGAGCTGCGAATGTTGGAAGACGGAAGGGAGGTTCCTGTTGTGTGCCCCGTTAACTTGCAGGGAATCAGAGCAGAGGTCTGGGCAGGCATTCCCCTCCCTGGCCAGCAGGGGGCTCGCAGGCCGCGAGCAGCTTGGTTGCTGCACCTGTGTTGGGGGAAGAGGGGAGAATGAGGCCTTTTGGTGAATGATAGGATGGAGAAGTAATGTGCAACCAGGTATGTCTATGTACGAGGCGTTTCAAAATTAAAAATTTGTTAATGCATGAATACATGTATACTGACATGATCTACAGATAACTTTTAAGGTTGGATAGTTTTGTAATTAATGACGCATTATGCATCCCATTGAGGTGCCAATAGTGACTGTGAGTGGAAAAACACAAACTGTTTTTCCTCTGCTCTAACACTACAGCAATCAACACAGAAGACTTGTGTGACCAGACATGTAGGGTATTTCCCCACACACCAAGGAAGCAAGCAAGCAATTCTGCAGGGGACACCAGCTGGGTATCCTCTAATTCCATTCACTTCTGACACTGTCTCCCTGGAGACAGCATCAGATCCCACAGGTTAAGGACTCAGTCCCCAAGACTGCCCCTCCACTTTCAGATACCAGTCACAAGCCCCAGGTTGTTTTAGCCGTGCTTCTGACCAGATGGCTATAAATCGGGGATCCCACCACCCCTCCTTGGGGTTAATTAATTTGCTGGAGTGACTCGCAGAATTCAGAAAAACACTTATGTTTACTGGTTTACTATAAAGAATATTACGAGGGCTAGAGAGGAAGAGATGTGGGGGAAGGGTGTGGAGCTCCCCGGGTACACTGTGCTCCAGGAACCTCCATGTGTTCAGCCACCTGGGACCTATCCAAACCCAGTCCTTCGGGGATTTTAAGGATGCTTCGTTAAGTAGGCATGACTGATTAAACCACTGGCCATTTGTGATCAATTTAACCTTCGCCTCTCTCCCTGCCCCAGAGGTGGGGGGTGGGCTGAAAGTCCCAGCCCACTACTCCTGCCTTGTTCTTTCTGGTGACCAGTCCCCCAACCTGGAGCGACCTAGGGGCTGCCAGCCACCAGTCAATCATTAGCACACAAAATGACATCAATCTGGAGATTCTAAGGATTTTAGGAATTGTATGTTAGGAAATGAGGTTGAACACCAACCAAGTGTTTCACAATATCACCCTGGCCTAGGAGGAATGAAGCCCAGGGCATCGTCCACAGCGGGAGAGCATGGCCGAGGACGGGCAGAGGGAGCAGAGGCCCCGGCCAGGTGCGGAGTCAGCCAATGATCTGCCCAGTCGACCAGAGATTAGGGCAGGAGTCAGAATCTATGGCACAGTCTTAGATGTGGCTGAAAGGTCTTGATGGGGAAGCAAGACAAAAAAGCTGGGACACATATGTCGGAGGGGTGTTGGAATGGGACCTCTGCCCTGTGGGGCGGACTCGGAAAAACTTAGGTTGCTCCTCTGAGTTTAGCCTAAGCTGAATCTCCACTGTAGCCGCCTGCAGTTGCACATGGACCTTACTAGTCGGGCCTAGTCCTCAGTGCAATCGTAGGGCGGTTACATTCCCTTTTGATTCTTTTCCCACCTCTTACTGCCCTTCCCCGTTGTGGGCACACAGCCTCCACCCCCTTAATATCTGAACCACAAAGGTAATTTAGTGCCAATCAGTTAAGGCCTTATTCTGATGAATAAGTGTATTAACTCTTCCAAGAATGTTTACACAGAGCCATAGATTTATCCTGGTTAAAGGAATCTTAAGATCATATGTTCAAAAATTAAAAGATTTTCCAAGGTCAGTCTATCTTGGTCTCCCTTTGAAGAATCCCTGACAAGTTAGCCTCGAACACCTTGGACACCTCCCTTGACAAGGTGCTCACTGCAGGGCCAATACCTGCACACTTGTGTCACAAGCACTTAATATGTATTGCATTTAATCCTCAGAAAAACCCTCTGAAGTGGGTAAAATGAAAACAATTTTCTGCGTAAAAAGCTAAGGCTCAGAGATTGAAATACTTGCCCAAGGCCATGCAGCTAGTAAGTAGAAAAATCACTCACTCCACAAACCCAGGTTCTTCTTGTTCCAAAGACCATGCTGTTTCCGCTCCCCAGACAGCCCATGTGTGATAGGCGGGATTCTACGATGGCCCGAGAGTCACCTGGTCCCGGGTGTACACACACATTTTCCCAGTTGTTTAATCAAGCACAAATCTAGGTGCTGCTGTGATGGAATCCTGCAGATGTAATGAAGGTTCGAAATCAGGTGACTTTAAGATAGGGCTATCTGGGTGGGCTCCACCTGATCACATGATCCTACTCTTTAAAGCTGAGGATTCTCTCTAGCTGTGGGTAGGAGAGGCTTTCTTCTGATGACTTGAAGGAGAGGCTGCGCTGTCATGGGAAGGCCGCGTGGCCGGGAACTGGGTCCTCAGACCTGCGGCTGCGAGGAACTGTGTCCTGCCCAGCACCAGTGTGGAAGAGGCCCCTGAGCACTCCGTGGGAGCGCAGCCCGGGCTGCTCAGACGTGCGAGGACCCGCCAGGCCCCGCTGGACCCCTGGTCCACGGAAACTATAAGGAGAGCGTGGTGTTCTAAGCTGCTGAGTGTGTGGTAACCTGTTACACAACAATGGAAAACTAATGTCTGATTCTTCTTTGGGATGAACGACGCGGGGTAGGTCCCCCGAGGCAGACCCTGAGAGGAGGCTGTGAGGGGAAGTTGGTGAGAGCTGTCCATTCTGAAAGCACTGGAAAAGTCTGTGGGGAACAGAGCTGGGGGAGGGAAGGAAGGAACATGCCGCATCAGAGAGCAGGCTGCTGGGTGAGCGGTAAGGGCCCCACCCAGGGGATCTGTAAGAGACTAGTTGGAACTTCACTCCGAGTTGTCCCACCTGAGAAGCAGGCAAGCTGGGCTTTTTAGCTTCTAAGTTGTCAATACCTCGCTGGACAGATGAGCCCTGCCGCAGGTCAGTGGTTCGCAGTAGGAGGTCGTCACGTTTGGCAGAGCAAGGCCCAGAGGCATGTGGATGGGGCCAACAGTGTCTGCTACAAAGGCCTTTGTTAGGCAGTTCCTCTGCACCTTCGACACGTGGCCTTTAGCCATGGGTGCTGGTGTGGCCCCTTAGCTGACACTCGTCTTCTGCAGGCTGCCTCTCAGACCCCTGCGGGTTTCATGCTGCCCTGCAGCTGTCTGCACTAAATGTTTCCAGTGCCTCCCTGGACCCAAACGAAGCAAGATTTTGAGTACTTTATAATCTAGGGAGCCACCGGATTTAGAAGGGAATGAAAGGACCAAACGTTTTCTCACTAGTTTGGTCGTCTTCGTTTGGAAGCTGTCATGATGCAGATCTGACCACGCCAGCTGCCCGACGGCCTCCTCAGGCTGGCGACTCACAGGCAGCCGTCTCTGTGCAGCTGCTAAGAAACGTTTCAGCTCCCTGCCGTTCTGCTGTTAGTGTTTGGATGCTAGGCGGGGACGTGTCATTGCTGGGTGAGCTCGGGCACCGTGAGCGCGCGGTACTGCTGGCTGCCGCGGCTGGTGAGCGGCGCGAAGCCTGGCATGAAGAAGTGCAGGCGCGGGAAGGGCACCATGTTCACGGCCAGCTTGCACAGGTCGGCGTTCAGCTGGCCCGGGAAGCGCAGGCAGGTGGTGACCCCGCTCATGGTGGCCGACACCAGGTGGTTGAGGTCCCCGTACGTGGGGGTGGTCAGCTTCAGGGTGCGGAAGCAGATGTCGTACAGGGCCTCGTTGTCGATGCAGTAGGTCTCGTCCGTGTTCTCCACCAGCTGGTGCACGGACAGGGTGGCGTTGTAGGGCTCCACCACCGTGTCCGACACCTTGGGCGAGGGCATGACGCTGAAGGTGTTCATGATGCGGTCTGGGTACTCCTCGCGGATCTTGCTGATGAGCAGGGTGCCCATCCCGGACCCCGTGCCGCCCCCCAGCGAGTGGGTCAGCTGGAAGCCCTGGAGACAGTCACAGCTCTCCGACTCCTTCCTCACCACGTCCAGGACCGAGTCGACCAGCTCGGCTCCCTCTGTGTAGTGGCCCTTTGCCCAGTTGTTTCCGGCTCCGCTCTGGCCTGCCGGAGGGAAAGAGACTGTCAGACACTGAAACGAGGAGTTTCAAATTCCCTCATTTTGATTGGAGGAAACGGTAGGACTAGTCCTAGAGTGGCAGATTCTTCTCTTGTACACATCCTTTTATTTATCTAAATTTTTTCTATATGTCAGTGACCCTCAAAAACACAGTGGATCGTAATAAAATAAAAAGCAAATTTAGTTCCTATGAGGCTATTGAGGAGGAAGATGGGGTTAAAAAACTTAATGGATCAGTTTTTTTAAAAAGGTATTTGTTTTTTATAACAGGTTTGAAACAAGTTAACTAGCATTCCTGTGTCAGGTGGGTGGAGCTGGGGGCTTCCCCCAGTGTTTGGACATCTAAGTCGCTATGCAAACTAATAAACATGACCTAGAGAAAAGAAAAAAAGAAAAAAAAACTTAATGGGCATTAAAATACATGCATTTTAAACCCTTACATTCTATAAACACTCAATTTAGGTGCAGTTAGCCAGGATGTGATCAGCAGAGAAAACGGCCCCAAGCAGTTGTCCACACCTCTGGTCACACCCTGTGCTTTGGCCTTGGGCCCCTTGAAGTGGTTCCTTGTTGCCCTGGTCCTTTGAAATTACCCGCAGCCTAGTAAGGCCCGCTTGAGGCTTCTCTTGCTCTTTCTTCTTTCCCTTCAGAGCTGCTCTGTGCTGGGGTGGCTGCAGCAGCCCTGTCCACCCTGACATTGGTCTCTGAGCTGTCCAGAGGGCGGCCAGGACCACCGTGGACTGGGTAGGTCAGGCCAGGACTCGGGCTGCCTGCTGACACAGTCTCACCTGGGAACTGAACACTAGGAACTGTGGCTTGCACAGCTGTTGGGAAGGAGGTGAGTCATCAGGCCAGTTCCCGCTGATGGTGACTACATACCGAACACGAAGTTGTCTGGCCTGAAGATCTGGCCAAATGGTCCGGACCTGACGGAGTCCATCGTGCCCGGCTCCAGATCCACCAGGATGGCCCGAGGTATGTATTTGTTACCTGTGGGGAAGAAGAGCCCGCTTAGACCTGCAGTTGGCAGAGGACCCCTGGGCAGGGCTGTGCCCTCTGCAGCTCTCACAGCAGAACTCTTTAGAGAAAATTCCAGCATCTGAGACAAAAGGAGAACAGGGGAGGTTTTCTGCCTGTCAGAAAAGGGAGATTCTGAGCATGCTCAGCCATGTGGAGCAGGCAGGAGTCCTAAGGAACCATAAAGTGTATTTTCTAGCAGTTGACATTTTAAATGAATATGCGAGAAGCATGCCTTTGTCATCTGCATGTTCCTAGCACATTCTGCCTGCCACGCCGTGGAAAGCAAGGTCGACTGGCCGAGCACATCCCAACACTCACCGGCAGCCTCATTGTAGTACACGTTGATTCTCTCCAGCTGCAAGTCGCTGTCGCCATGGTAACTGCCTGTGGGGTCGATGCCATGCTCATCGCTGATGACCTCCCAAAACTGAAATGAAAGAATCACATCATGCTGTCTGCGGCATCCTAAATGTCACCAAAGATGGCCTTGTCTTCCTCCCATGTCCTTGGAACAGCAGCCCTCGCCATCAGACGGTTTCTGCTCAGCCCCCATTTCCTGCAGCAGCTGCTGCCGGGGGCTTGGAAATCTGCAGAGCATCAGCCATGTTATGGTGATAGACTGGAAGGCTGGGAGGACGCTGGAGGAGGAGGGGGCTCAGCAGATGCCCTTCTAGGGGCCGGGGTGGCAGTGGGGAGGGTCTGGGGGAGGGTCTGTGACCCAGGCAGGGCTGAGTGTGGCTACATCCCTGCTGATGGATGGGTCCTGGCAGGACTGAGGACAGGTGGACCCCGCCCAGCGGCTGCCTCCAGGGATCAGTGTTTCCTGCAGAGACCCCACGCAGCCCTCCAACGGCACAGTCTGTGCCGCTGACCACAGCAGGGAAGGGCCGGGGAAGGGCAGACGGCAGCCTGGGAGGGCGCCTGGGTGGCAGTGCAAGGAGCTGGCCAACATGAGGGCGCTGACTCCATTGTGAGTTTGCAGCAGGAGAAGGGGCAGGGAGGTTGGGGCAGGCAATATGGCGGTTTTGAAAGAGACCATGTCCTTGCACAGGTGCCCGCCCACGTCCATGCACCAGGCCCGCTGCTGCCTCCTCACTGCGGTCGGTAGTTACAGCCACCACCCAATGGGGGTCACCTGCCGCCTAGCAGACGGGAGACAAGAGCATCACGTTATATGTCATCACGTCTAGACGGTGCCGGTGCAAGGGAACTGATCTAACACCCTCGTGTGTGAGACCCTATCGTCACATAAACCAAATCCATGCATAGGTAAGAAGGAACCAATCAAAAAGACCATTGCAATAGGGAGAATGCTCTGGTCTCATTCATCTGCAGGCATCCAATATCAGAAAAGGCTATTCTGTAATTGGGACAGGTGAGCAGGTCTGGCAGGAACTTTATTGGAGAGGAAACAGGTGGGGATAGGCAGGTAGCAAGATTGGGGGACTTCAACAGGAAACGTTTTTATCTATAGTGAGCAGATTGTGAGACTAAGCTATTAAGGGGGATGGTGTGCATGAGTGCTGGGGGGCAAGCCAAAATTAGTGGGTCTGACCAATGTTTGGTGGAACCAATTTAGTGGGTTAGAAATCAACAATTGTGAGCACATGCTTATTCCTCTGTTTCAGACAGACAGAATCTGTCATTCAGTGCTTTTAGAGATGGAATAACCATTTTGGGCTCAGGTTGGTTCCATTAGGTGTCAGGGCTGGGCTGGCCTTCATGTTCTCATTGGCCCTGACGAGATAGCTGTGCAACAGAAGTAAGGGCCTGAAAAAGGGCAAACTATAGTACAAGTTGTCTCTTTAAACCCATCCCGCAATTCTTTTTGGGAATTAAAACCTGCATTCCTGCCCCAGGCCAGTGAACAGAGGGGCAAGGGAGTGTTCTTTGTAGCACAAGAGATGGCTCAACAGAATTGTTCAGGCAGAGGTCATGAGATTGTCTTCACTGGAGATGCTATAGTTAAACAGCAATAGCCAAAAGCTAAAAACTCCCTTTAAAAGCTCTGTATTTCTGTGTAGAGATAGGCCAACGGTACCTTCCAAGACTCAAGTCTGCCATGTTCCTCATTTGCTGGCAAATTAACAGCGTTCTCTTTTCTTCTCAGACCACTTGTCCTCGTTCTTTGTTCTGCCACAGGGACAAGTACTGAACTTTCAGTAACAGAATTTGGTGTCCTGGGTGGGCCCACGAGGGCCCCGGTGGAATAGCACCCCAGACCGCTGCTGTGGCTGGAAGAGGCGAGGAGGAGGCCGGGTCAAGCTTTGGTCTTCCCCAGTAGCAGCACCATCTTTTTGGGTTGGGAGAGTAAGGGACCACCCCAGCAGCTGCTGGAGACTGTTTAGCTCTGGGGAACTCCCATCTCTTTCTCCCCAGATTACACACAGCTTTGACCAAGACGAACTTTTTTGAGGAAAAGGAAACGGATTTGGGAAGTGTTGCAACACCTCAGCCATTTTTGGTGAGTTCCCTGGTGTGTACACCGAGACCCTTGATTCCACCCATTTAGGGGAGATTTTGAGACCTTCCAGCCCTGGGGCAGGGCATTTGTTTGTAGGGGCTTGTTTGTGGGTGGAAGTCACGGTTGAGCAGAACTAGGAAACCTGGGGAATTCATTCCCTTTTGGATTAGGAAATGTTGGTTCTCATTTGAGAGCTTGATTCGTCTGTGCAGTTCTCATTTGTTTTGTAAGGCCTTGGCATTTGAGATTGTTTTTGTTGGGAATTCCCTGTGTTGTCTGCTTGCCATGTTGTGTTCATTATCGTTGTTTATCAACATGGGAGGCCCCATTTCTGTTCCATCCGAAAGCTCCTTGGGGAAAATTTTGGCTGAATGGCCAACTTATCGCTATAAGTCTATGTCTAAAAGAGAATGGTGTGATTGTATTCCAGTGTACATGCTGGAGTGTACCAAGTGGCCACTGAATGGAACCTGAAATTATCATGCTATCTTACAAATGTAATTATTTTGTCAAAGTTCAGGTAAATGGGACAAGATCCTATATGTACAATCTTTCATACAAGTGCATAATAATGAAACTGAAAGCCCATGTGATAAAATTGGAGGGATCAACCAGGTTGGATCTCATGAACTCACTGCTCACTGCCAGCCCCCCACTTGTCAGAGACGACACCATGGGCTCAGCCATGCTCCAGCTTGTGCTGCTGGGTCCCCTGAGGCCCCATGTGCTCTGGCCTCCTGATACGGTGGTCATGGAGTGCATGATGGAAATGCCAGAGGGTGGCCTGGGTAGCGAATAATTGATCTTATCCACAGAGAGGCCTGGCCTGTGCCCTTGGCTCCTGGGAGGGAGGTGCTCTCTGGGCCCCCGGAATGTCCTGACTAATAGGAATGTCTTTGTTTGCTTGGGGACTGTGGCCACTGCACAGCCTAACAATGTGATTTATGATGGGGGCTTTGGCCACACCGTATCAGTTCCAGTCTCTCAGGAACTGGCAGATGTTAGCCCAACCTCCAGGAGGGGCTGGGCACTAAAGGGCAGCCATGTGGGCAGTATGTGGTCAGGCCCCAGTAAAAACTCTGGACACCAAAGGCTCGGGTGAGCTGCCTTGGCTGGAAAGGCTCTGTGCATGTTGTCACAGACTGACGCTGGTGGGAGCTCAGTTGACACTGTGCAGGACTCCTGCAGGGGAAGCCTCTGTGCTTGGGCTCCACCTCACGTGTCCTTTCCCTTGGCTGATATTAACCTGTGTGCTTTCCCTGTAATAAACCACAGCTGTGGGTATAACAGCTTTCGGTCCTTCTAGAAAATTACTGAGCCTGAGGGTGGTTTGGGGAACCTCCCGAATTTTCACTTAGTGTCCGAAGTGGGAGCAGAGAAGACTATGTGGATGCTGGGTGCCCCTGAAACTTCGCGGGTGGCCCTAGCTTGTTCAGGGGATGAAGTGAATGTTTACATCCCAAATGCTGGAGCCCCAGCCCCAGCCCTCAGCGTGCCAGA